GATTTTTATGGATGGATTTTTTTCTTCAGCTCCATTTTTCCAAGGCTATTTTTATCCCAGCTCCATTTTCTTCATCCAACTTTCTTCTTCCATGCCAATTTCTTTCCCAGGTGTTCCAAGGCCAAAATTCAGCTTTTCCCCTTCGAAAACCTATTCGAAACCCCTCGAAAAACCAAAAAGGCTCCGAAAAATGTGTCAATCGACGACACTTTTGAACTGAATCGGTCCATTTTCGGACTTCTTCGTCCATCGTCTCATCTGAAATTTGACCGATGACGACGCCACGACGGCGCCATTCTTCTCTCCGTTCTTCTACCTTGACTGATTTCTTTTCCTTTTTTTTTTCGTCGGATCGAAGAAGGGGGGCGATAATTTGTTTGTGAGGTGTCTGTTTCGGCGTCTCACGTGCCGTTTGACTGGTCAATCTCTTTCGTTATTTTCATTTTAAGGTGGCGGATATTTTGAGCTTGTTTTGGGAGTAAATTTGAGTTTTGGAAGTTTTTCTGGTAGTTTTTCAATCATTTTTGAGGGAAATGAAGGGAAGTTTTAAGAATTTTTTGATTTTGAGCATTTTCTACCTTTTCTTGCTGTGCTTTTGGGTTCTGGAGGTCTTACTGGTAGTTTTTCAATCATTTTTGAGGGTATGGAATTTTTTCAGGAAATAAGGGGATTTGGCGATTTGAGCGTTTTTTTAAGGGTGAACTTGGGTTCAGGAGGTATTTATGTGGTTGTTTTCTTCTGGATGTCTTTTCGGTAATTCAAATCGCTAGTAGAGAAAGAAGTCATATTTTCCAAAGCTTTCCGGTGACTTTGATTCTTTTTTTTAGTGCTTTGAATCTTTCTAAAAAGTTTGAATTTAGTTTCTCAAAAAATCTAATAACTTTAAAAAGGATCCAAGGTTTGAGAAAAAAAAGAATATATAGTGGTTTCAAGCGGATCGTATTTTAACGAATTATAATGAGGGCAGTTTGAGATCTTCAAGCCTTCATAACTGAAAAATTCAAGCTCCACACGATTATAATCTTTTTCTGATGATAATCCTGAACTCCAAAAAGCTTCTTGTGAGTGTTTCTTGTCCTTCTAGCCACTCATCAAAGTTCGAACTTTTATAAAAATGCAAGAAGCTTCTAGAAAGTCACGAAAAGCGTGCGAAAGTCCTTGAAAATATGAAAAATGTATAACTTTAGAAAAACGTCAGCAAGGAGGATCTTTAGAGAAAAAAGTTATCGTTAAAAATTCAAAAAATAGGCTTTTCAAATTTTTCTAAAGAAATCAAGACTATAAGGGTCTCAAAAAGTCTCTTAAGACCATTCAAAAGTCCTTAGATCTCTTTAAAAAAGATCAATGACCATCTTATGTTACCTTTTTTTCTGAAGGGATCAAAAACAAGCCATTAACCAGTGATAAAAAGTTGGGGAACCTGAAAAAAGGTATCAAAAAAAAGAATCTTATCACAAACAAGGATGTCTCATCGGAGCGAAAACACCCAAGAATTTGGCCAACTATCGACGATTATCTCTCTCTTCTTTTAGAATCAGAGAAGCAGAGAAAGAGTGAGAGAAGAGAGAGGGTGAGAGAAGCAGAGAAAAACGAGACGAGAGAGAGAGGGTCAGAGAAGCAGAGAAGAAGATGATAGCCGAGTGATTTACGTGACCGATTGGACGTTACCCAAAAACTTTGTCTATTTCGGGTTTTTTCTCCATATCTCTCGGTCCTTCAGTCCACCTACGTCACACGGAGAGAGGCTGGGAGGATTTTTAGTGGCCCCTATAGGGTTTTTAACTTCAAGTGGCCACTATAGTAGTCAAAACAGTGGCCCCTAAAGAGGCTAAAAATTAGTGGCCTCTTTAGAGGTCCAGGTAGACTAAAACTACTATAGTGACCCCTAAGTCTAAAGTAAGGGAATCTAAAAAGGTGATTCAAGTGGCCACTTTAGTGTTCTCTTCAAGTAGTCCTTGAGGGACCTCTTAAGTGACCACTAGATTTTTTTCTCAGGATATGAACCTTTTTTTAAAAGCTCCCTAAAAATATTTATAAGCTTCTTTCATTGAAAAATTTTTTTCAAGTGGAAAATATGGATTTTTCACCTTAATAAGGTAAACTTTAAGGTCATTAAACAGTATTTTAACGACCTAATCATTATTTTAAACGTTTTTCCACACTTAAATCATGAAAATTTTGAAAAATTGAATTTTTCAGGTAGCTCAAAATGACTTTCTGATCATTAAAAAATTTTGACATGCTCAAAAAAAATTCAAAATATTTAGCTCTTCTGAAGCTTTTTTTAGTACAAACATCGTCACTAAAATAATTTCAAATCGAAAAAAATCTAAATTTCGCGCCAAAAACCCTCAGAAAACCTTGAAAATTCCATTTTTTCAAGGCCATTTATCACTTAAAAAACCAATTTTCAAACCTTTTCTAATTCGATTTTTTTTTCTTCCCGTTCTCATTTAAAATCACCTCATCCCACCTTTTTTTTCAAATCGGAACGGAATTTCCCGATTTCGAGACCATTGAACGAACAGACGACCTTTGTTTTTGGGTTGAAAAATGGGTGAAAAGTCTAAAATCCGTATTTTCAGTCGAATTTTCTCTATGTGACATGTTATTTTGGGTCGTCGAGGGCAAAGAAAGGAAAAAAAAAGAGAAAGAACTTTATATTTTGATCTTTCTCAAGTCTTCTTGATTGGATTAACAAGGCGTTGGGTGCTGAAAAAACAACTTTTTTCTTCTGGGAAAAATTTTTAGTGGCCGCTATAGCGGCTCGCCAAGGACTACTTGGAGAGGACACTAAAGTGGCCACTATTTTTCCGTTTTAGTGGCCACTTGAGTAGTTTTTCATCCAGTATTCCTTCCAGTAACTCTGATAATTTTAAAACAAACAGATTGGACCAGTTATGTTGATCCATGGGTCCCTAAAGTGGCCACTAAAATTTTTATAGTAGTTGCACTTGAACCTCTATAGTGGCTGCTAAATCTAACCCCTTAAGTGGCCACTAACTTGACTACTATAGTGACCACTAAAACGTCAAAACCCTAAAGTGGCTACTTAAAATTTTCCCAGTCATATCAGACCATCGAAACCACACGAAAAACGTTCGGGAACAACTCAAATTACCAAAAAGGCGCGGAATTTTTTTTTTCGGTTGATTTGCAGGAACCTAATTTGGCGCGGTATTCAACTTTGTTGGCGCCGACTAATTGGATTTCTTTCTCGAGTCCAGCGAATCAAAACTGAGAGAAAAACCTTGAAATTTCATTACTTTCAAGGGAAAAATGTTAATGACGAACGGTTTGGAGGGGGAAACGTGTAAATTGATTTGGTTTTTTTGCTCAAAAAAAGGGGGGAATGTGGGAAAAATCAAATCATCAAAAAGGTGAAAGAAAAGTCTCTTGAAAGCGCTAAAAACTAAGCTCAAAATATAAAGTGCGTGAAATTTCCAAAATGACCTATAAACAGCCTCAAATTTGCTTAAAATCCAGTCTTCAAATCAAAATTCATCAGAAAACGAGAAAAATGGTTACAAATCCCAAAAAAGAAGCTCAAAATCTTATATTAATTTTTTTTAAGCTCAACATGAAAACCTGAAATTTTCATATCCACCGAAAAATAGATCAAAAACCTCTAGAACTACTAAAAATCTAACGGAAATCAGAGAAAGGCCGCAACGACGTTAAAAAAATGTTATTTGAGCTGTTCTGAAAGTACCAAAATCGATCGAAATGGCCTTAAAGCTCAAACTGACCGTTGATTTTTCATCAAAAAGCATTGAAAAAAAAAAATCCTAATTCATTTTTGAAGACTCCAAAAGTATTAAAAACTTCTCAAGAGACGTCCAATATGAATAAAAAATTTTAGATCCATTTTTCTAGGCTCAAAGACTCCAAAATCACAGGAAAACGCTCAAAATGGCTTCAAGAATCGACAAAAAAGCTTAAAATCTTTCAAGACTCCTTTTTTGAGCTCAACCTAAAGAAAAGAAATCCGCTGAACCCCCAAAAATCGGACCGAAATCTGTAAGAACACTGAATCGTTTCAAAAATGCTTAAAATCCATTTTAGGCGTTCTGAAAAAGCCAAAAACGCTGTTGAAATCAGACGAAGAAACTTAAAAATTTTCAAGACCCCTTTTTTTTTTAGCCTAATCCAAACTTTGAAAACTCTCAAATGACCAGAGACCGCTCAAAAGTCACTTGAATCACCGCAAATCGAAAAGAATCAAAATAAACACAAAGAGACCAAAACAAAAACCGTCAAGAGGAAGAAGATCTTCTTGGTTGGTCTGGCCACGCCCACTTTTCTTCTTCAGGGTTTTTTCTAGGTCCTAATAAGGGCCTTCTATGAAAATCTACCAAAAAAAGCTTCCAAACTCAAGGAAAGTACCTTTTTTATCTTCAACCGGGAAAAAAAGCTTAAAAAACCGTTCTGACAGTACCAAAAATGCTCAAAAGAGGTTTTAAGACTCGAGCTGAAACTTTATTTGTATCTCAACCTATTGGAAAACATCCTGACACATTTTCAAGAGCTTAAAAAATCGCCAAAAGTCTCTAAATGACCTTGAAACTTTAAAACACACTTCTAGCCATCCTGAACGATTTTTCAGCCCAACTAGACCCTTGAAAACACCAAAAAACGCTCAAAAATCCTCTAAACCCAAAACAAGATAAACAAGACAAAGCGAAAATCAGAAGCGTCAAGAGGAAGAAGATCTCTTCGGGCTAGTCTGGCCACGCCCACTTTTTGTCTTCATCTCCAGACTCCTCTCTACGTCCAAACAACGTCGGACCGAGAGATTCTCGTGACACGTGCCCCCCTCTCTGTCAACGGAGACTCCGCCCACTTTCGAAGACACGTCAACGGCGGTCGTCGCCCGGGCGCCCACCCCAAAAGCGAAACGCCTCAGAGCATATTTAAGCGAACCAACGACGACCGCTGTCGCCAGCCATTCCCCTCTACTACTTCTGAATTAAAGAAAAAGAGTTCCCTCCTAAAAAAAAATGTACTGCTCCACCTGCTCGGTTCTATTCGCCCTGGTCGGCATGGCCTTCGCCTTGCCGCTGGCTAAGGAATCCGCCAAGGACGCCTCCTTCGGTTGGTTTCTTGTTGTTTTTTCTTTGTTCTGCTACTTTTGTCATGCCGTTTTCACTTGCTTGAACTTCCTTTAAATCTTCTCTTTTTACCTCACTGGATTCTTTAAAATGTCCCTTAGTGCGATATCGCTTTAGTTACAGCTTCTCAGACCTTCTGAACCTTCAGGAATGTCAAAACTGTCCCTAAACGCGATAACGCCCTAGCTACAGCTTCCTTAGATCTTCTGAACCTTCAGGAATGTCAAAACTTTCTCTAAACGCGATATCGCTTTAGCTACATCATCCTTAGAGTTTCCGTACCTTTAGAAGTGAAAGATTGTACCTAAATGCGATATCGCTCTGGCCACAGCTTCCTTAGACCTCCTGAACCTTCAGAATTGCCAAAAAAAAATGTCTCTTAAACCTCTTAAATGTATTGCCTCCAAATTTTGTTCGGACTTCAATTTTTAAGCTCTCATAATAACTTCCAAGCCTTCCTAATTTCCTAATACGTCTAGGAGACTTTTTTGAGTATCCTGATAGTTTCAAAACAAAATTGCCATTTATTTCGATGAATTTTAATTTTCCAGTGGTCCTCAATAGACACTCATTGCTTAACTTCGATGCTACAAATCCATTTTTAAAGATATTAGCCCTTCAGAGCTTTCGCAAAAATGTACTACCTTACTTATCCCTTATAAAGAACCTTATTACAATCTCGCTTGAGAGCCTCTGAATCCTTGAAGGTTAATTGACAAAGTCTAGCCTTTTGGCGTTGACTTCATTATCTGAATTTTTCTCTCTGGAACCCGAAAAAACGACATGAAAAACTATAAAGAAGTCCTTTACCTAGGACACTTTCCTTTCTCCCAAAGTCATCCGATAACTCTCTCATGTCCTCAATTTCCAGAATCCTTCCCCTTCGAAAGCTTCGACGGTCACTTCGCCAACATGGAGGTCGACGGCGTCGAGATGCCTCTACCCAAGAAGACGGAAAAGTTGCCCGGCCAGAAGAAGACGTCGAAATCCGCCTTCGATAAGCAACCGATCGGCGTGGCGCCAGAATTCACCGGCTCTTTCATCAATGAAGATTCCGACGACGGCAACAAGAAGACCAAGTCTTCCGAGTCCGACGACGACTACTTCTCCGAGGTCCAGGGGCCAGTGACGAACCCAGCTGCGACCTACCTCGAAGGCGGCAACTTTGACAAGGTTAGGGTGTTTGAAGACTATCGGGACTTTAGGATAGTATCTAGCTAAGCTCCACTTGTTCTAGGCTGTTCTGAATCTTCTAAGGGTAGCCATGCCAAATTAGCTCAACCGAACTTGTCTAGCCATACGAAACTTGTTCTGAAGCCTGCTTAGACGTACCGATTCAGACCAGTTAACTCAGCCGAGCTTGTTCTGCTAGTCTAGCGTAGCCATGCCAACTTAGTTCAGCCGAACTTGTTTAACCGTACCAAACTTGTTCTGAAGTATACTTAGCCGTACCAATTCAGACCAGTTAGATTAGCCAAGCTTGTTCTGCAAGTCTAGCGTAGCCATACCGACCTAGTTAGGACGAACTTGTTTAGCAACACCAAAATTGTTCTGAACCTTGTCCAAACCGATTCCGACCAGTTAGCTTAGCCGAAATCATTTTGAGCTTTCAGACCAGCCTGTCAGAAGTAAAAAACACTGTAGCCATACCAAACTATTCTCCCTCAAACCTAAACCCTCCGATTCCAGGTCCCGGCCCCAAAATGCCAGATGCTCGGCTGCACGGGCCCAGTCCCCAACGACGGCAGCTACGCCGTCCTCAGCACTGCCGTCGACAACAAGGCCTGCGGTCAGACTTTCGTTCCTCTGAACGGCTGCACCGACAACAAGGGCTACCCGATGGGCATGCTGTGCAGCATTTGCTGCGACTGCGACAACTCTTTCGTCGCCGAGATGAAGAAGACGTTCGGATACCGTGAGGGCTTCACCAGCTCCTCCTAATTTTTGTCTTGTGATGTTTATTTTATTATTTTTCTTTTTGTTGGAGGGGAAGTTGGGTGGAGGCTTGAGATAAGCTTGCAGAGCTTCTGAGACGCCTGGAGAAGATCTAGTGATGCTAAAAAAGATCTAAGGGCTTAGCCAAGCCAAAAATCGCTAGGGGAGCAAGACCTACTGAATCTGTAGGATCTAGCCAAACTCCCAGAAGCTTAAGAAAGCTTAGAGGAGTCGAACTTGTCTTCCTAGACCCAAAAATCGAAAAAACTATTCCGAAAAGCCTAGCCAAGCCAAAATTCTTTAGAAAAACCTCTAGGAGACTTCTTGATGTTAAAAATACCTGGCGATTCTTAAAAAACGTCCAGAGAGCTCTGTTAAAGCCTGAACTACTGAAAAAAGCTCCTAGCCGGCCTAGAAGCATTCTAAAGACCTCCAACCCAACCTCACCTTCACCAAAAAGGAAAAAAAAAACCTGTTAATAATTTCCTCTTCACCTTGTTATTTCCCCCCACCCTGTCCTGTCCGCTCGCCTCTTTTCCTTGCCGAAAACAAAACTCAAAAAATTCCTATTTTTAACACCGAAAACGGGTATCCTTCCAAAAAAACATTCCGTGGTCTCCAATCCCAACAAAAAAAAATTATGTCCCCTTCCCAAAATGAACATTTCTGTACATAACCGTCCAACGTGTAAATAAATCATCCACATGGAAAATTTTCGTCTTTGTACTGTATATTATTGTTATTTCTTCTTTTTTTCTGATTTCTGAATGAAAATTAAAGATTTTCATTTGATGATTCGTGTGTTTTGGACAGAAAGAGAAAGGCAAAGATCCGATTTCGGACTGATTTTCTGGGCTAATTGGATATTTTACACTAAAGCTTCCTGGTCAAAGCTATTCGAAGGTCCAAGGCCATTTCGGAACATTGGAAAAAAAGAAATTTTTGTTTTTGCTTCCTTATCGGGTCAAAAAAATCGAAAAAAACTTCCTTCCATATCATTTTGGAGATTATAGTCTAGAGAAAGTCTTCAGAAAGCTTTTTATTTTCAAACCAAATATATCTAGCACTTTCCCCAAGTAGAGTGAAAAACATCTCGAAAAAGCCAAAAAAATATCCAAAAAAATCTTAGTTTTTCTCATAAAACCTGCATTTTTTTCCTTTTTTTCTTAATGCTTCAAAGTCCATTTTTATAACATCCAAGCTTTAAAATTAATTAATTAATTGGAAATTTTGTTGAAAGCTATAAAAAAATGAACCCTAGAAGATGACAAAACATTCCAAATCGTTCAGAAATTTGGTAAAATCTTTTTTTGAGAAACTAGAGAAAAAGCCCAACTCTTCCTAAGACCATTTTCATTAAAAAAATTTTTTTTTCCTTTTTTTAATTTTCCAGTCTCAAAGTCTTGATCATTTTCATGATAGAAAAAAACATTTTTTTCCACATTTTATTGATTTTTTTGATCTCTGAAATATCAAAAATCTAACTTTTTTATCAAATAAATTAAAAACCAAAATGTTTCAATTTTTTTAAATCAACCGTTATCCCTTCAAGTTTTCTTCCAAAGACGCTCAAAACATCAAAAGAATTAGGAACGCCAGAGTGATCCCTATAGGGGTTAGGGGAACTAACTCAAATCTCTATAAGGGTCGCTTTGGAAAGTCTTGGTGGGCCATATAGGGGTTGGTAAAGTGGTCCCTAGAGGGGAACCTTCAAGGGCCCTATAGGGATCACTCAGACTTCAGGTAAAGCTTGAAGAAAACTTTCAGAGCCCCTAAAGGGTTCCCTTTCGCATTGGATAGCTGAATTTGCCCTTAAAGGGACCACTTTAGAGTCCTTAAAACAGTTAAGAGAAAAATCGACCTTTTCCGGGAAAATTCATGAGCTCAAAATATCATTAGATTATTTACACATTTATTTATTTATTTTACTATTTTCTTTTTGATCTTTGAAATCTCGTCATTTTACTCTTTTTTTCTCCAAACTTACCACCAAATCCCACTTTTTCCAATGATCACACCACCGATATCGATTCGACTTGATATCAGAAATCGATCGTTATCACACGATATCCATCCCTTTCTTTTTCGGCGCCCATCCCAAGAGAGTAATGCGTATTAACCCGGCTGGCGCCTTTTGGCGCTGACTGGCGCCCAATTCCTTTCTTTTTCTTTTCATGGAACAAAAAAAAATGCTTTTCAGTGGTATTTTGTCCGTTGTAGGGAAGATAAGGTACTGAAAAATTTCAGAAAAATCCATTTTCTTTAAAAGAAAAATGCTCTGTGATGCTTCTCCTTTTGTTATAGCCCGGAAAATCATCCACAAAATTCTGTAGATGGTGAAAAGTCGCTCAAGGTCGGGCGCAGTAGGATAGCTCCCAAAATCCAATTTTCAGCGCTAAAATGTCGGTTTTGCAATCTTTAGTGGCCTCTACAGAAAGAGGTAAAGTGGTCCCTAGAGGGAAAAATCCAATAACTTCTAGAGTTACCCCTTTAGGGACCACTCTGGAGTTGCTGAGTACAAAAAAAATTCAAAAATCTAAAAAACGGAATTTCGCAGAAAAAAATTCTTTGAAAATTTGTTTCTTCCAGTTTTCTTATCCAAAATTTCATGCTGCAGAGAATTTCTAGCTCAAAAATAACAGTGAAACATGAAAAATTGGAAAAAAAGTTGAAAAATACGCGTCTGCAGTGCACTGCCGCGTGCTTGCGGACTTCGCCTACCGTAATTTTTTAAAATAATGTCCGATGAAACGATTTTCATATTTTTCTTTGTGAAGCTCTCGAAAATTCCATTTTTCCATCTCTTGAAATTGAAAAAGGCGCGTAGGAGTCTGCAGTGCACTGCAGCGTGCTTGCGGACTTCGCCTACCGTAATCTTCAAAATAATGTCCGATGAGACGATCTTCAAATTTTTCTTTGTGAAGCTCTCGAAAATTCCATTTTTCCATCTCTTAGAAAATGAAAAATGCGCGTAGGAGTGTGCAGTGCACTGCAGTGTGCTTGCGGACTTTGCCTACCGTAACCTTTGAAGTTTCATTTTTCCTTCCAAACCTTTCAAAAACTTTCATTTTCCATCTCTTGATCTCAACCCAGTCAGAAAAGTTCTTCGCAACAAACCTTCCTCAATTAACGAGCCAGTAAAACGACCCACACTACAGCGGCCCAAAAATCAACATCAACATCAGAGTTCATTCAATTCGCGTAGTGGAAACGAATTCTTTGCGTAAGGTAGGAAACGGGTTTTTTCTCACACACAGAACCGTTCGCCATAAAAGGAAACACCGACAAACGACCCGCTGATAAATTTAGCGTCGCCAACTGTGTCACACAACCTATAGATCAATTGAGAAGGGCAACTCGAAACTACACTGAATGATGGGAAGGGCTTGAAATTCGAGGAAAAACGTAGGGAAGCCAGAGTGTTCCCTATAGGGGCGTAAGAGATCCAATAGGGGACTAAAAGTGCTCCCTGAAGGGGCTTATTCACAAAGAAGTGGTCACTTAAGGGGTAAAATGACTCTTTCTCAAATAAGTTCTAGGCAATAAAGGACTAGCAAGCTACCTCTTGAGGGACCACTTTAGCTTCTCCTATACTTCTGTATTTTCCGCAAGCTTTAGTGGTCCTTCTAGGGGTGAATCTTCGAGGGACCCTTTAGGGATCACTTTAAATGTTTTTGTCGAAACTACACTGAATGATGGGAAGGGCTTGAAATTCGAGGAAAAACGTAGGAAGGTCAGAGTATTCCCTATAGAGGCGTAAAAGATCCAATAGGGGACTAAAAGTGCTCCCTTGAGGGGCTTATTCTCAAAGAAGTTCTAGGCAATAAATGACGAACATGCTCCCCCTTAAGAGACCACTTCAACTGCTCGTGCGACTTCTGCAAGCCTAAGTGCTCCCTTAAGGGGTAAAATGGCTTCTCCTCAAAGAATATCTAAGCAATAAGTGACCAGCATGCTCCTCCTTAAGTGACCACTTTAACTGCTCTCCTAGGGGTGAGTTCTGCAAGCTCAAGTGGTCACTTTAGGGGTGAAAATGCTTCTTCTCAAAGAAGTTCATGACAATTAATGACAAGCATGCTCCCCCTTAAGGGACCAAGCTTTAGTGGTCCTTCTAGGGGTGAATTTTCAAGGGACCCTTTAGGGATCACTCTAAGAGTTTCAAAAACAGCTAATTTTTCCAGCCAATTTTTAAGTAAAAGTTTCGAAATCGGATACGTGACGGTCCAAACATTCCAATTTGTTTCAGTGAACCGCGTTCAATTCCTAGACACGTCCATCTAACACAGAAAAGAAAAAGAGATTCCAAAATTGATAGAATCAATGAAATTGACCGCCCAACATTCGACATCGAGAAAAAAAGGCTAGAGGTCATTTTTCTCAAGGGTCTCGTCTTTCTTTCTAGTTTGGACTCAAATCGCACAAGTTCATGAAAGTCGAGATATTTAAGGCTCAAAATGGAAGCTTAAATATCTAGGATCATTTTTCTTAAAATTCCTTCTTCGTCTCGATTTATTGTTCTCTCTAGTTTGAACTCAAATTCCACAGAAATTAGTAAAATGCCTTGAAACTTTCAAGTGGTCCCTGGAGAGATTTTGAAAGGAGGCACCCCAGTAATGACCCCTACGCCTATAAGGACCACTAAAGCATTAGGATTTTAGCGGTGCGCTCAGAGAGCACTATAGGGGCCACTTAAATTGTGTACCCCTAAGAGACCGCAAAATTGTTCCCTAAAGGGGTCCTTAGAACAACAGTCCCCTAAAGGGACCCCTCCAAAACTCCCCGTATTTTCGAAAATCGTTTTTTTTTAATGACGTCATTTCCTCATGAAGCTTCAAGAAAAATCACTTATTAAAATTTTCTGAAAAAAATTCTGAACCAAATTTCTAAGAATTTATGACGTCATACATGGCTCTCTCAAAGTGACGTCATCAAATTTTTTTTATGACGTCGTATTCAGGAGAAAGTGCCATATCCAAGATACCGAGAAAAATTTCTCAAGCTTCAAA